TAGTTATAATTTAAAAAATTTATAAATTTTCGTAAGCAAATTTTAATTGTTTCAGAAATGATTAAATCCAATTTTTATAAACTTGTATATTTGGCAGATTTATTACAAATTTATTATTAAACCCACCAAAAAATTTTTTTTACATTTTTTTTATTTTTGCATTTAAAAGTATATCTTTTCCGATTGTACCATTCAAACAAATTACAAGTATTTGCAATTACAAGCATCTGTAGCATTTAAACATTCGGATGTGTAAGCCCCAATTTAACTGTCTCATTATCACGCAAGCAAGTCCATTAAAAATTCGCAACTTGATTAAACCTTTCTACGGCATTTCCATGGAAATTAAGTTATAGTCCAATACTGTCGCTGTGTGATACAAGCAACATGAGAACAGACGGCGTAGCCCTTTGGCGAAATAGATTAACATTGTCGATACATCGTCGATGTCGATCAACGTCCGTGACACAGGAATGCATTTGTCGCAGCTATATCTGTTAGTGGGATAGTATTACGCGACCATCGATACGAATAGTTTTGCACAGGTTACAAGATATAATTAGTAACAAAGATGAGATACACTAAACGGATCAAAAATTTGCATAATTTATTTAAAACAAATTGATATTTTGCTCAACTCGATACTTTATGTACAATATCGATATTTTTCAGCAAGTTATTAAGGTGAACATATTTTTTAAAATCTATTATCTTTTAGAAAAAAAAATCAAAAAATCCGAAAATATTGATAAACATATTATTCACATGCCATTTATTAACATTTTTTATTAACTTATAACTTACATTTTTTATTAACTTATAATTTACATTTTTTATTAATTTATAATTTTAATTATATAACACTAATACATAGTTGGGCTTTATTCATCTATTAATTAAAATGAAGAAAAGGATCGATTATCCTGAACCTTTGATCGATAATTTTGTTAATATATTTTATTATTACGAATAATATGCAATTTTTTTCTATTAACGACGTTTTCAGAGGTCTTTATTTTATTATTGCTTTGAAACATTTGATAGTACTGTTGATACTATCGATACATATTATATTTCATGATCAGTATCAATTAGTAAACGCTCTAATATATAGCAGCATCAAATTTCGAAATCAAGTACTCTATATTTTGATATCAATGTGATTTTCCTAAATAAACGTTTGATAAGTGAATTAAATAAAAATCAGTGTTATATATTAAATTGATTCCATCACTAATCGTAATTGCAGCCGATATCGCAGTGGCATATATTGACCATAATTTCGGCAAAGGAATGCTTAGTCTACGAATATGATGGGACTTAGAGGGCCATAAGCGAGGCTCGTTGAAAACCCCTTAGTTTTCCATTATACTCCTTATCCACCTTTTGTTCTCTCTTCCGCAATAACCCTCATTCTCCGTTCTCGTTTGAGCTAATAACGACGAACATGATCCACATTAGACAGCTCTCTGCTGCTTCGAGTGCAGGAAAGTTGAGCGTGTTGCGAGTAAGCTTCCGTCGTTCTCCATTATTACCGAGGAGATACTTAAAAATCGCTAGTTTTATGAGAGTTTGCATAGCTTGAGAGCTTCATCGTGCGCAAATGTCTTATCAGCAAATATTGTGATTAGAAAAAAAAAACAATAGATCAAAGCAAGTATATATATATACGAAATATCGGGACAATTAGTAAGTTGCAAACATTTGACAGACATTAAATATAATTAAAAAAAAAAACAAAAAAGTATAAAATTTTTAAAAATATTAATTGTATGTAGAACATAAATATTGTATTATTATTTGATATGAAATAGCCACAGAGAGAGAAAGAGAGGGAAAGAAAAAGAGCTACAAGTCTTTTAACAGTATCTCGTCGATATTACCATATTTATAATCGCAGTTATAGACTGTAACATTAAGTTATTATGTTATACCGACAACTGTACTATAAAATGTAAAATACACGCCAATACCATATAAAGATATTAGGATATAAAGTTTATAAATTTATAAGTAAGTTTATATACAATTTATATTATTGCATACTGTATATTTAATTGCTGATACGACTGTTATACTAAATATAAATTTGTATATAAATACTATTGTGTATATAAATAAAATAACATATAAAAAAAATTGAAACTGTAATAATATATCATTTTGTATTAAAGTATCAATCTTGCTGAAAATGAAAGATAATTTATTTGCAACTAAATCAGAGCTTTATTTTCTACAAAAGTGGCACAATAAAAATGCAATAAATGCATTGGATAGTAAAGAGGATAGAAGATGAAAGGCAGATGGTGGTGCATGAAACGGGAGCGGATGAATTGATTCATTCGTATCCGACGCGATACTTGATCGATTATCGAAATAATGAACGCCAGTCTCAGCGACATGAAGAGCCTATTGCGGTGCATTCACTGCTTTCGAGGAGCGAACTATTAATACGGTTGCATGCGCTTTTTTTCTGTTACAGATCTGCCTCGTGAATGAACGCGAGATGGACGTTTGAATCGAAGCCGTCATGGCCCCGTTCCTATTGATCCTGCCGCTACTGGCGTCATTGATACACCCGATCGGTAAGTGAGGCTCTTCTTCAATGTTCCGTTCGCCGGAAAATGCAATGACGTCGGGATAAAAAGCGGAGCGCTGCGTCCTGAAATACGAATCTCTCTCGCTTTCAGTGGCGCTCTTTGAAAATTGCGCATCTGGTTGACTAGAGTCGATAATTAATTGACATGTTAAACAAATTACCGTGATTAACGAGCGCCCTCGTTCGCGTAGCACGGATTGAAAATCTTACGGTCGAGATCGAAAGATGCAGCAAATTGCAATGCATACACCTCGCATTTATCTCGCAAGTTGTTGAGATGTAAATTTTTATCTAGCAATGATATCGCAATATTATTAGTTTATTAAATTAAATAAGCTCAGCATCAATAAACAAGAACAATACCATACATTCACTTACACCTTGCATTTATCTCGCAAGTTGTTGAGACGTAAATTTTTATCTAGCAATGATATCGCAATATTATTAGTTTATTAAATTAAATAAGCTCAGCATCAATAAACAAGAACAATACCATACATTCACTCTTAAAAAAAGCATGTTAAGTCCAATATTAACTTGCGTACAAATTAAAGCCAAATAGCAAATATAATGTAAAATATTTTAAGTGGATATAAGTAACTCTTCTTTAAATGCATATAAAATATATTATATAATAATAAATCGTAAACCCGAAGTAATTAACACAACGATAAGCTCATAGTAAATAAAAAGTTTTGGCAGCAAAATAACAATCAATAACATATTCGGCCTTGGCGGCATATAGCACTCTGTTGTTTACGTGTTACGGCCTTGTCATTATTATTTTACGGCGACACTTGAACAGTAATGTAGTAGTGTGCGAGACGCTCCGTCAAATTCCTTTTCTGAATGCGATCGCGACAAGTATCGGAAAATGTGAGCAATGAGCAGTGACAAATTATAAAAGTTATAAAAGAAAATAACTAATAGTTAAGAAGAACATGATAAAAGATTTACGTCCAGAAATAGTCGCTCATTTCTATCCAAAGAAAAGACACACGGCTACGACTAACTTTCTCAATCAGTAGACTCAGCCCGATCGACTATTGGCTCGTTTGTATTCATGATGAGAAAGTCGGAGCTATCATTTTTCCGCATACTTTTGTTTCCCTCAAATAAATTCATATCTTGACCTGGCTAATATAACACATTTTTAGTTCATCTAATCTATATATTTTAATCTAAATAAAATATATATTTAATATAAAACTATCTTTCTCTTGAATAGCCTGAATAATGTGTTAAAAAATTGTTATAATAATTGCAAATTAATTAGATATGACACACATAATTGAAAGATCTAGCGGAATATGAAATATAAACGAAGAAAATAATGATCGTAAAAGAGAGATATTTTTTAAAAAATTATTACTTTCTTAACAAATTTATTTACTTCTTTAAGTACATTTAGAGAAATATCATATGATGTTAAATAAAAGATTGAAAAATATTGTCATAAAATTTACTCGTATAAATTTTAAAAAAATATGTTAACTTGCATGTGGAAGTGTTAAAGCTAGCTGAATGATAAATCTTATTAATTTATCACAAGTTTTTATTTCTATGCTTTCCTCCCATCTCTCCCCTTCTTTATATTCAAAAATCCATGAGACCATAAAATAAAAATTTTGGAAATACATCTATATATAAATATTTAACTGCGTATATCAGTACCAATATATTTTGTTTTTCTTTATACAAACCACAATTCACAAATGGAGCAAATAAAAGCAGAAATTCTGAATAACATGTAGTGGCACTGTACACGCTATATTACATTGTCTCGCTTACGTTAACACAGATTTATCACCATACGCGTATCTAGGACGAAACTTTAGCTTGACTTAGCCCATTTTCAGGAATATACTGTATGTATGAAAACCGCGATGAAAGCAAACGCTTTTAACTGCAAGATGTTAGTAGTTAATTTATGATGTGTAAATCTTAATGCTTCTATATAAAATGGAAATATAAATGTTAGAACTTAGCGAGGTCATTTAACCGACGAGATGACAAGATGCTATTAATCGAATAGCTTGCTATAAACATATTTACTATGACATCTTAATAATTGAATATCGTAAAACAATAATTGTAATAATAATTATTGAAACGTGTCAATGTAAAAATAATGAAACATTATATGTCGAATATTATAATCTCCTAAATATGGTATCTCATAAATATGGTAATCGAATATAAAATTTTTATTTAATTTCGAATAAACCATAGTTCTCCAAAAATTATATTTTTAATAAATTTCTCGTTGATAGGTAAAAGAACTTTTTAAACTCAAACGTTCCACGTCTCCTTTTTGTAACTCACTATAAAGTTAACATTCCGCGCCTTTCATTGGACGATAAGAAATTCCATGCTATCAAGTATCCCGAACAAATCGATCCCCGATACTACAAGAAAGGCTTTACCTTGCACGCGTCGGGATCATTCGAGATTCCAACAAGATATAGCCAGACCTGGTCCTTACCATGATAATGCATGGCGCTACAGCAATCGTGAGAAGAAATACGAGAGGGGCTAACGCAATTTATTGCATCCCGCAAATATGATACGCGCGGGGAGGAAGGAGGGAAAGGGAAAATAGTCGGGAGAAACGATTGCGGTAGAACTGCAAAATTCCGGCGCAACGTGCGCCTCATTTCAAACGTCGACATCTAAATCGTAAAGCTCCGTGCAGGGTATATTCCAGGAAAACGTTCATTCTTTAGTAGGTCATAGGACCTCGTCGGGTTCTTGACTTGTTTCCTTACAATTATACATATATTACACGTGCACCTGCAATTATACACGTGCGGATTATGCAGTCTGCGTATTGCATCAACGCACGCTTTTCTTCTCTCTCTTAATCCAGCAAAAATTTGTTTATACAATTACTTATTTTATAAAGAGATATTTTGATATTTTTTACATTTTTCTATTCCCATTTTCAATAAATTACTGCAATCAATGCACTTCAATAAATAAGCGTGTGAAAGAAAAATGAAAAATATTCAAACATTCAAAAACAGAATTATATTTTATGAAATATATAAACAAATTTTATAGACTTGAGTTTTGAAATTAATAACATTTTATGTTCGTCTAAATAAACTATCGTATTCATTAATAATGTTTTTGAAAAAATAATTTTTAGTATGATTTAACGTCTATCGACAACTATGTCTATCAAGTTATCTTATATTGCCTCTAATAAAACCGTAACATCACAAAACAAGAGAAGAAAACCAACGAACTGTAAAGAAAACATCGTTTCTGACAAGATGGAAGCTGAAAGCAACGGAAATGTGCACAAGTAAACGAAACTGTCGGTGTTGCTTAACTGAAGTACACAGTGAGTGCCGTAATGACGAGCAAACTTAATTTGCACAATCAGCCCTACAGAACCGAATATATCCCGCCATTATCTACCATCCTACTCAAAAGAAGTGGTACTTATAGCAAATTACAATTAAACTAATCCACCAAAAAACATTAGAAAATAAAATTGTCCCTTTATTTTTCAAATTTTATTGTTTGCAACTTTATCATTAAAATCCGAAAATTGCCGTCTTAAAATCTCTGTTAAGAATACAAAATCAAGATAAAAAAATTATTAATGGAACATAATTCTTTTAAACAATAAATTAGAATTTAAGGAATATTTAATAAACAATAATTCTAAAACGTTTTTATTGTAGAGTCTTTTAATTAATATTTTATTTATATTCCACATTTTTTGGATACATTTTTTTTTACTTGATAAATTGAAAAGATCTGTCTTAATTATTTCATGATAAAATGATAAAGTTGCTGTCAATTAGATTAGCAAATTACCTCTAACTAACTGCCACCGCGCAATGTGCTTTTTGCACAGACAAACTAATAGGAGTTAATTACTGCGGAGCACGTAGTAGTTTCTTTCCTAGCAGCTATAGTCAATAATAGGACTTGCGGTGGTTAGGAATGAAACCGCAACATGAACATTCCAGTTTAACGGAACAGTTTTGACATATAAATTTGTATAACTGCAAAATTTTTAATACAAATTATATTTTTAGCAACATAGAAATAGCGATAAAAAAGAATTAACCTCCAATATTACAAAATTATATTGTAAAATAGCACATAAAGTATTTTTTTAAACAAAATAAGTTGTTAATTTAATAATTTTTTTAATACAAAAATAAACTACAGCAATATATGTATATTTATCTATATAATTATATCAATATGATTTCGGATTTTACACATAAAATTATAAATAAAATTTTATTTTAAATTTTTTAAGGTCGTCTAAAATTGACTTTAGATTCAAATGCCTGCAACTTAAATAATATTGATTGCATTTGCGTGCAAATAACATGTGTCTGCTTTACTAGAAGAGACATGCAAGCCAAGCCAACGTCCGAGAATTTAATATCCCATTAATTGCGAATATATTGTAAGAGAATCGAGAGGAAACGATATTGAATCCCACCGTCATAACTTTTTAATCGTGGCGCAATTTGAAATGGCATCACGGCGTTTTGATTACATCGATATCATGTGCGTTTCAACCTATATGGTATATTTATCACTGCTACAGAAACATTTATTTTCAAGACCCTGCTATTACCAAACAATAATAATTTATATTGAATGAAGCCAAGTAAAACTGGTATATTTTGAAAATTATTATCATTAATAGTCGCTATATATCTGTAATAATACAAAATAAGGAATTATATAAAATTTTAAAAAACAAAGCAAAGAAAAGAAAAAGAAAAAAGGGAGATAAAAAGAGAAGAAAAAAAAGATATGCAAGTTAAAATAAATTACCGTCATTTTCCATTTTTTGAAATATTATTAATTGAGTTCATATTTTATGTTTATTGACTAATTTGCTATTTAATTTACTATACTAATTTATTATTAAAGAGCAAAGATTGATCACATGATATCGAGTTGACACAAGCGTGATGTATTTCATACAAAACCTGTATCCATTGA